ACGAGCTTACCACCATCACGCACGCACGTTTTATCGTGTGCGCAACGCGCTCGACCACCACCGCGGTGGCGACAAGAGCGCCTTTTCAACACGCTGCGATGGCGGGGTGCAGCACCAGCCGTCACGGCTTCCTGCACCACGTCGAGGCTCGCCAAGCGGGCACGTAGGTCCGACTCGACACGACACAGCCCCAAACATCCCACGTCTCGCTCGCTCGTGTTCTGCCAGCTCTCTGCCCGCAGTCGCTGCTGCTCACGCTCTCGCCGCGCGTCTCCTGTGCTGCACGCCCACACGTGCGCCGCCCATCCGCCGCGCGGGAGCGAAGCCCCGCCAGCCCCGCCTTCGTCAGCAGCGAGTCGACCCCGCGCAGCAGCTCGCCCAAGCCCATCACCGCGTGCGTCGCATCCGAGGCTGCCGAGGCGGCGGTGTCAGCGGAGGCGGCGGAGGTGGCGGAGGTGGCGGAGGTGGAGGCAGTAATGGTGGCGGAGGCAGCCGTGTGTGCTGCTGCTCCTCTGCTCACTGTGCGACGAGCGGAGAAAGCGCTGCTGCCGCTGCCACGACTACCGCCGCCGCCGCCGCCGCCGCCGCCGCCGCCGCCGCCGCCGCCGCCGCTACCACCGCCACGGCTGCCGCCACTGCCACCGCCGCCACTGCCACCGCCACGGCTGCCACCGCCGCCACTGCCACCGCCGCCACTGCCACCACCGCCACTGCCACCGCCACGGCTGCCACCGCCTGCGGAGCGCGGGCTGGCCGCCTCTTGCGTCGCCGCCGCGTCGAGGTCGATGGCGTTGGCGCGCGCCTCGCGGTCCCGCTGCTCGCGGCTGACGGAGCGCGTCACCACTACCTCGTCCTCGTCTGAAGAGCTCAGCTCTACAGTCTCTGGTCGCAGCCTGCCTTCGGGCGTCTGCCGCTCGGCGCCGTTTAGCAGGATCGTGTAATAAATCTCGCCCGGGTCGTCGGTATGGACCTGCTGCACGATGGCTGCAGCGAGGCTGCCCTCACGCACGTACACGACCCGCTCGCCTCGCCTGAACCTGGGCTGTGCCACCCGACAAGCGCTGCCGCTGATCGGCCGTGGAGGATCTCCGCCTCCGTCTCTGGCGCGGCGCAGCACGGCGGCGGGAATGGCGGCGCCGCCGCTCTGCACGGCGGCGGCGGCCCGGTTGGGTGCAACCGCCGTCTGTGTGTGTGTACCGGGACGCACGCAGGGGGCGGGCTTCAAGTTTTGGATAAGAATTTAGTTTTGGTGTATCCCGGTGTCTCGCGTGATGCTAAATCGCCGCGCCGAACTCGACCGAACATTCGCATATGCATCATGGCGGTGCGTTGCCCGCCCCCGACACACGCGCTTCACACACGTGCTACGCAGGACCGGGAGCGGGAGCGAGAGGCTGCACGGATCCTCAACCCAGCAGCAACGGCGTACGAAGTGCTGGGTGTTCCGCCGAATGCGACCCATGAGCAGATAGCGGCCCAGCACAGAGAGCTGCAGAAACGCGCTGGCATCCGGACGAACACAGAAACAGCCACGAGCGGGCAACGCAGATCTTTCTATCAGAAGATCGAGCAGGCCTGGGACACGCTCCAGGAGCCATCTCGCCGCGCTAAATACGATCAGGCTGCGCCGTCAGGCTGTGAGCCAGGACGCATTCGCTGGTGAGGGCAGCATCGGTGCGACGTTGCGGAGCGGTTTTTTTCTAGAGCACCCACGCTTTTCCTCTCTATTTCCCCGGGAAAACTCCGTGGAAATCGTCATTTTGGGGGGCTCTGAGCCGAGTCTGAGGCTGTTTGGGGGCCAAAATCAGCAAAATCGGAGAGAGAGAGATTCTTCTTCAAAATCGGCAGCATACGGGATTACGGGTATTAGAGAGAGAGAGAGGGATTGTTTGTTTTCGGGTATTTTGTTGGGAATACTGGAAAATACCCGGGTAGTTTGCCGATTCATCCTCAACGTTGCTTCAGATTTTGCCCCAGACAGAGGCTAGAGCCAGACCACGAGCATCCAGCTCTCAGACTCAGGGAAACTCGAGAGAAACAGAATGCCGAGCACCAAACTCCCTCTGTTTTCCCTGGAAATTTCCGGAAACGCAAAGTCGAAAGTGCTGGGGACCCTGTGTTTTCCTTTTTGTTTGCCGGAAAAGTACGTGCAGGCTCCAACACAGGTAAGGTAAAGGTAAGGTAAGGTAAACGTCTCCACACACACAAAGTGGTGGGGCAAGGGGGGGCGACCCTCGCATCTCCACGCCCGGACACGGGCAGGAGCCCCCACGGCATTCAAAGTGCAAGCACCGGCCCGGTGCCGTGGGTGAGCAACCTGCACGCGCCGCCCACTCCCTCCCTCCCAGACACAACCCGCACACAACCCCCACAGCGTGGTCGTCTACGTGTTCAGAAACACCAAGCAGCGAGGCGAGGGTGAAGGGGTAAGGGGCTGTGTGGGGCAGAATCTTCATCCGGCTATGGAGGCTATGGCAAGCTGGGCCACGGCGACGCGCAGCCCCACCTGCTGCCCAAGAAGGTCGAGGCTTTTGCCGGCCAGTGCGTCGCTGTGTCCGCTGGAGATCACCACAGCCTCGCCCTCACCGCCGACGGCGCCTTCTTTAGCTGGGGCAAGGGCGAGGACGCCTGCCTAGGCCACGGGGACGACCTGTCGAACCAGCTGCTGCCCAAGAAGCGGTTGAGGCGTGGGCGCCGGGGCAGTGATGAGAAGGGCGAACGGGTGCAAGGCTCTGTGTTTCCACGCGTCGCCCACGTGCCTATTTGCCACCTGATTCGCCACCTGCGAACATCTCCGAGAGTTTCGAGAGGCGAATCCAGGATGGAAGACGGCGATTTGTGCAATGTGCTACGGGGTGTGGACCGTGAGTTGACCAGGGGTTGTGCGCCGGGCCCTCCTGCTCGGCTCCAGCGAGTAGACAAGTCTTGTCACTAACAGACAGACCACACAGCTATCGGCGCAATTCGGACAATGCTCTTTCCCACGCCCGCCACATGACGCCCACCGCCGCCGCGTTGGGCGGCGCGCGCCGACGCCGACCATCACCACCGACCGACGGCTCGCACGGCCGTGCGGTGAGCAAAAATTTGGGTCGCTGCGCGCCTGCCGGATGCTCTGCGACGTCTGGACGCTCGCCAGAAACGCCAGGAAGCTTGCCTTCCACCCCTGGGCCCGAGGGCGAACGGCAGTGGTCGGCAGCCTCTGCGGCGCTCCGATCGGCTCCTCGACCTCACCGCCTGCGACGAGCCAGCATGGCTCGTCGCTCGACGGCAGCCTGCCCAGTATGCTCTCGGCATTCTGTACAGCCTCGCCAGGCTCTCTGAGACGGCCTGCAGGGCCGGCGCGGACCGCCTCGGGCGCGATGGCCCTCCTCAGTACCTACCCCTTCGATGCCTGTCGGCTCTCCAATCTCGTCGCCGGCGGCAGGCCCGCATGGCGCGCTGCTCGATGGCAGCCTGCTCAGTACGCTATGGACAGTGACTTCTGCCTCGCTGCTCTTACTGCAGCCGCCTCCGGGGCCGGCGCCAGCCGCCTCGCTTCGCCAGTGCTGTCTACGCCTGCGACACGCGTGTCGGCTCGCCGCCCGCGTCGCCCGCGGCGGGCCCGCATGGCGCGCCGCTCGTCGGGAGCATTCCCAGCAGGCTGTGGAGGGCAGTCTGCCTCACTCAGGGCGCCGCCGCTGCCGCGCGGGGCCGCCACCGGCGCTGCTGCCGTGAACGCTGCCGCCGTGTACGTCACCATCGCCTCTCTTCGTCGCCGAACTCGCCGACGCCGCTCGCCGCTCGCGCCGCCCTGCCTTGCCCCGCCCAGCCCTCGCACAAACAAACCAACACACACATACACACAACACACACACACATTCACACACACACACAACACACCCTGCCCTCACTCGAGCGCCCCGCGCCCTCCCGCCCCACGCCCTGCGCCTCACGCCTCGCGTCCCACGCACGCCCCGCGCCCCGCGCCCCCACGCCCCTCACCTTGCGCCTCACGCCTCCCTCCCAACCCTCTCAGGCATTTCTCCTCCCTGCTGCTCGCCGACTCCTCCTCCCCCCGCATGACCGACGACTACCCGACCTTCGGCGACTCCTCCCTCTTCGGCGCCAACGTCTACTACCCGTTCGCGGCCCGGTGAGGGGCGGGAGCGCAGCCATTCCAACGGCTGGGAAAATTTCTGAACGGCCGTGCATGCGTCTGCATGCCGGACAACTAAGAAGGTCCCTCGCTCCCGCTCCTCTCTCGGAAGACGCGCGCCGGCCTGGGGGACTCGCTTGCGATCCCGTTCCAGCCAGAGGCCGCGTGAGGCGTGTGGGACGGTGCACGCTGGGGCTCGGCCCCGAGTGCGCTGGCCTCGCGTCTCGAGGGGAGGGCGGCTCGTAACTGAGGTCCGCCTGCGGAGACAGTCGTCCTCCCCTCAACCCGGCGTGAGGGGCGGGAGCGCAGCCATTCCAGCGGCCGGGAAAGTTTCTGAACGGCCGCGCATGCGCCTGCATGCCGGCTTACTAAGGAGGTCCCTCGCTCCCGCCCCTCTCCCGGAAGACGCGCGCCGGCCCGGGTGACTCGCTTGCGAGGTAGATCCCGTTCCAGCCAGAGGCCGCGTGACCACCACAGGGACTGTCTGGCGCGGGAGGGGAGATCTAAGCCGAACTCGCCGGGCACGCCGGCGAGGTGACGGTAGATCACCTCTTGAGGATCACCTCCGCCAGACGATCCCTCCCGACGGGGACCGGTCTTGGGCCATTCCAACGGCCAGGCCGCTCGCTTAAGGCTGATTGGCTAGACGAGCGGCCTACCTCCAACGGGGCGGTCCGGGAACGCGTGGAACCTGCCCACCTCGGTGGGAGGTGGTTTGGCGCCGACGGACCGCCCTCTCCACCACCCTCGCCCAGGGATCTACAACGCTGTCTTAAGGTCCGACAGGTTCGGCACCGGGCACCGCCTCGGTATACAAAATGCGCCTGCGGGCGGACCCTCACAGATCACAGATCACTAACAGAGTAGAAGGATCTGACCTCGGGGCCGATGTGACCAAGAATTGGTAGCGTGGTTTTACCTCACACCCATGGTCTCACAGTGTGCCGGCAGTCGCCGAGCAGTGTCGCTCACACAAGCCACAGCACAAGTGACTGAGGGCCAGTGAGGGCGAGCCCATCGCTGTCACAGCTGTGGTAGCCGCACAGTAGGCTGTGTCAACTGTGCAGAGCGTGTGAGCAGCCGAGGAGCTGCTCTCCAGGCTTCAGGCGCAAAGAGCTGCATGCCACCGAAAGCGCTGTCGAGGTTCGCCGAGCGCGGCGCAGGTTGGAGGACACCGTCACCGACGAGCGCGTTGGAGTATTCACTCCGGACAAAGCCGGCCACACGCACACGAGCTGCGGCCGTGTGGCCGTCATAGTGGCGAGGCGCGGGACTCTATGTGTGCGGCCCGCGGTGCGCGCATCAGAAATGGCCTTTTTCCCGTGCTCAACACACTATAAGAATATCGCGAGCAAACCCTCTCACTGCCCCAGCCCCCTCTCCCCGAATCGCTCGATCTTCTTGGGCAGCAGCTGGTGCGACAGGTCCTCTCCGTGGCCCCAAGGCAGCCGCGTTCGCCCAGACCCCAAGCATAAACACCGCCGTCGGCGGCGATGGCGAAGCTATTGTATTCCGCAGCCGACACAGCGACGACGCGCTGCCCAGCGAAGGCTTCGACCTGCTTGGGCAGCAGCTGGTTCTGCTGGTCGCCGTGGCCCAGCTGGCCAGAGGCTCCATAGCCCAGCTCCAGACGGCGCCGTCGGCGGTGATGGCGATGCTGTGGCGATCTCCCGCCGACACAGCGACGACGCGCCGGCCAGCAAAGGTCTCGACCTTCTTGGGCAGCAGCTGGTTCTGCGTGTCGCCGTGGCCCAACCTGCCAGAGACTCCATCGCCCCAGCTCAAGACAGCGCCATCGGCGGTGATGGCGAGGCTGTGGATGCCTCCAGCCGCAACAGCGACGACGCGCCGCCCAGCAAAGGCCTCGACCCTTTTGGGCAGCAGCTGGCGCTGCTGGTCGCCGTGGCCCAGCCGGCCAGCGCCTCCAAGGCCCCAGCTCCAAGCGGCGCCATCGGCCGTGGTGGCGAGGCTATGGCGGGCTCCAGCCGACACAGCGACGACGCGCTGCCCAGCGAAGGCCTCGACCTGCTTGGGCAGCAGCTGGTCCTGCTGGTCGCCGTGGCCCAGCCGGCCGTAGTCTCCATCGCCCCAGCTCCAGGCGCTGCCGTCAGCAGTGATGGCGATGCTGTGGTACAGCCCAACCGACACAGCGACGACGCGCCGGCCAGCAAAGGTCTCGATCTTCTTGGGCAGCAGCTGGTCCTGCTCGTCGCCGTGGCCCAACTGGCCAGAGAATCCACCGCCCCAGCTCCACACAGATCCGTCGGCGGTGAGGGCGAGGCTGTGGTATGCTCCAGCCGCCACGCTCACGGCGCGCTCGTCACCCAGCTGACGGGAGGCGGGTCGGCGTGTTGAGCTGCGTCACGCCCTCGCCGTGGCCGAGAAGGCCTGGAAATTCCTCGTCGTCGTCATCCTCCTCCTCCTCGCCCTCCCTTGCCGCTGACCCGCACGACGAGAGCCGCCCCTCGCCGTCGATGAAGACGCTGTGCCGTTCGCCTGCTGACACCCTCGCCGGCGCGTTGGACTCGCGCAGCAGCGCCGAACAGCACAGCCACCGCACGGCGCAGCCCTCGCCCTCTGGCTGCGCCGGCAGCTCGAAGCCGCGCTCTTGCGCCCACAAGCGGATGCCCTCCTCCGCAAGCGAGGCGTGGAAGAGTAGCGAGACGGCCGCGACGCGAGCGATGTCGGCGGGGTCGCAGCGGGAGAGGGCGCGCTCGAGGAGCTCCCTGGGAAGGTCGAGCAGGCGGGCGGGCGGCGGCGTGTCTGGCGAGGGGGCGGCGGTGGGGGCGGAGGCGAGGCGGCGCGAGCGGCGGCGCGGCGGCTGGCGAGTAGAGGCCCCGCCCACCCAGGGTACCCCTCTCGAGGGACCCATTGGGTTCTTTCGAGGGCTCGCCGGGGCTCTGCTCCAAGAGACCTCGAGAGAGCGTGCGTGTGCCTCTACTCGCCAGGCGCGGCGGGGTGGACATCGCGAAGAAAAGAATTTTACGCTGGCCTCGAGGACTGGGCACGGGACGCACGCACGCACGCTTATCTGTGACTACTCCATCTAGCCTGGGGGGGCGCAGGAGGGCTCAGGAGGGGCAGAAGGGGTAAGATGTGCAGTCGCGCTCCCAAATACGTGCATCACTTTGTGACGGTGTTACAACTTTGAGGGCGCCCAGTTGATTGCGCCTACTTTCATGAGCGTCGACATGGTAGTTATCGAGATATGGTTGATCAAAAAAGTTGTAACACCGTCACAAAAGTGATATGCACACAGCACACGAGACACGTATATTGGGAGCGCGACTCTATCGTATGCGGGGTGAGGCCAGCTAGTCGACACAGGTAACCTGGTCCTTGGATCGTGGATGCTGGAACCTGCCCAACTCAAAAGTTTTCTCTCTTTAACGAAGGACATAAATTTCTCAGTTAAAATACGAGCTCGAACCGCGAGACGGGGGGGGCGTCACCCCTCGCCGCACGACGAATCACGGCACCACGGCTCGAGCACGGCGGCGATGAGCAGCCACGTCTGATAGGCGACGGGAAGGAAGAGGTTGTCGATCTGGTCGGTGGCCGCCTCGAGCAGACAGGCGACCGCAGTGCCGCCGGCAAGGGCGGCCCACGTGCGTGCATCGGCCGGCGCGCCGTCCGGGCTGCTCACGTGCAGCAGCAGCAGCAGCGCCAGCAGGGTCGAGCCGGCCGCGGCCGCGGAGCCCTCGAGCGTCTTGCGGCTGCGCGGCCAGCGCGTGCGCCCGAAGCGCACGCCGACGAGGGAGGCCATCGCGTCGCCGACCCCGAGGACGAGCACGCCGGCGAGCGGCGCGCCGCGGACGGCGGCGGCGGCGAGGGGCGCGCGAGAGGCCGGCGGCGGGGGGGGCAGCGCGCTCTGCAGCCAGACCGGGAGGGCGCAGCCCGCGAGGAGGTAGATGTGGGTGAGTACGAGGGTGCCCGCGTCGCGGCTGTCGAGGAAGGCGGCGAGGAAGGCGGCGAGCGGGCGCGCGAGCGGCGGCAGCGCGCCGACGCGCACGAGCTCGAGGAGGGCAAAGGCGGGCACCACCGCGGCGAGAGCGAGCGCGAGGAGGCTCGGCGCGAGCACTATGGCGGGGCAAAACAGAGCCACCGCGAGCAGGTGGAAGATCTTGCGCGCCAGCAGCAGCCGCGCGCGCCGCGCCCGGCGGCGGCTCGCCTCGGGCCCAGGCGACGGCTCGGGCTCGAGCGGCTGCGGCGGCGGCGACGCCGCCGCCGACGCCGCCGACGCCGCCGACGCCGCCGACGCAGACGACGCAGACGACGCAGACGACGCCGCCGACGCAGACGACGCCGCCGACGCAGACGCAGACGCCGCCGCGAGCGTGCTCTCCGCCTCTGCGAGCGCCTCCGCCTCGGCCTCTGCGAGCGCCTCTGCCTCGGCGTCCCGCCTGGCATCCTCCGGCGAGAGCGGCGGTGGCGCGACGCACGCGGCGGCGACGCAGCCGATCGGCGTGGCGGCGGCCCAGTAGGCGACGAGGGCCGGCCGGCCAGGCCCGGTGAGGGACGAGAGGAGCCACCGGAGCGGGGCGGCACCGACGAGCGCCTCGAGCCACGGCAGCAGCACGCCGCCTAGGGCGAGGGCGATGCCGCCGACAAGGAGCGCGGCGCGCGCGGAGGGCGAGGCGCGGCCACGCAGCGGTGCAAGGACGGCGGCGGCCGCCGCCGTGAGCGCGAGGCCGCCCGCGAGGACGGCCTCGATACCCATTGCCTCTGGCTCGCGGGCAGTGCACAGGCGCCCCCAGTGCCCCCACGGCGTCGCCGCCGGCCCGCCGGCAGCGAGAGTGCAGCGCGTCATGAGGAGCGCGTCGGCGGAGAGTGCGGCGACGCCCTGCGCCAGCGCGGCCGCCTCGCCAAGCGTGAAGGACCGGCGCACCATCGCGGTCGACCAGGCGAGGGCGGCCACGTGAGTGAGGAGCGATACGAGCGTGATGCCGGGGTCGGCGCCCTCGGGGGCGGCCACGGCCAGCGTCAGCAGCGGCGGCAGCGCGGAGAGCAGCGGCGCGCTCCACCACGGGAGGGACGCCGCCAGCGGTTGCAGCAGCAGCACGAGCGGCGGCTGGACTGCACAGCCGAGCAGCGCCCAGAGGTGCGCCCGGAGGAGCGGTGCCGCCGGCGTGGCCGCACGTACGTTTGCGAGCGCCATCGCGCACAGCAGCAGCGACGGGGAGCAGCAGCCCAGCGCCAGGCCCATCGAGGGTGCGCGCCGAAGCGAGCAGCATCCGAGGCGGCGCACGATGGCGGGTGCTGGGAGGTGGAGGCCGACGGCGGCCGCGCCCAGGCACACGAGCGGAAGCGCCGCCGCCTCGGCCGTCCAGCCAATGGCGTGCAGCGGGACGGCGAGCAGCACCGACGCGAGGACGACCAGTGAGGCCTCCACCGCAGAGGCCACCAATCCCGTCGTCATGCCTGAAAGAGGACGTCCGCGTTGGGGGTTGGGGAGGGGGGAAGGGGTTGTGTGGGTCTGTAGATGCCTGGCTGGCCGCGGTGAGACGCATGAGGCTGTGAAAGGCGCCTGTGAGGCAGACCGCTGGAAATAGTCGGACAGCTGAGAGCAGGCCACAGTCTACTTTCCGCGAAATGGAAGGAAGGAGAGAGAGAGAGAGAGAGCTTTTAGAAAACCAACAAGAAATCACGACTCTCACAGTGATTTGGGCTCGGCAGCTTGTCAGCCCGCAGCCGAAGCTGGGGCCGGTCCCGTAGCCGAGAGAGCCCGCGCCGATGAGTTCGACGCGGTCGGGGGGGCCTGCGGAGAGGCCAGCGAGATGGCCTCGAGCCGGGGTCGTCCTCCCGATGGGGGACTACGTAGCGCACTAGCCGTCTTCCACACGGACATGGTCCCTCGGGAGGGGTCCCTGGACCCTGCTGCTCCGAATCTCTTCGTACACATCCTCCTGCTGATCTCCGCAAAGTCCTGCTCCCTCCCTCGTCTCGCCCTGCGCGTCTGCTCTCCGCCTCCCCGTCGTCTGCTCTGCGTCGCCTGGCGACGGGTCCTCCATAGCGCTTAGCGGTTCTAACACAGGTACACAAAAAAGAAACTTGGTTTTTGTTGCGTTATGGAAACAGGGCAGCAAGGAAAATCCACGCCGAGCGATTTCCGCGAAAATTGGTTTCCGCGGCCCGAGGGCGCAAGTCGTGCTTTTGAAAAAGGCGAAATAGCGATTGCGGTGAAGGACCGCAGGTTAGGGATCAACATCACGATCAGTAAGGTGGTGCAGACAGCGGATGGCCGAGCGTCCGGTAGGCCGAACAACGCTCTGTCCTGCCTGGGGACCGCCGAGTTGCCGGCAATATCGCCCAGCCGGCGCGTGCGGCTGGAGTTGATCACCTTCGCCTCTTGCGACTGCCGCAGTGCCAGCTCTTTATGCGTTACTACACGCCGTTCGGCCGGAGCGTCCTGGGCGGGCAGACGCCCGCCCCCGCCCGGCGGCCGACTCTGGGATAGTAAGGTCGAGTCTTGGTGGCACGGAGACGGTCACGAGACGGGACGGACGGAACCTCCGGACTCCAGGACGACGCCACGGGACTCTAGGAGAGAGAGAGTGTGTGAAGGGAGTCTGGGCCAGTCGCAGCCGTGAGGCATGCCATAGCAGCAGAGGCACCTCACGTACGGCTCGAGTCGAGTAACCGTAACTCGCTTTGTCAATCTTTTCGGACCTTTGATGTGAGTCAGGTCGGAGTCGTCGGCGGAGTCGTCGACATCGTGGTCGACGGGGTGTGCGAACCGATAGCGCAGTGGCGTGTGTCGGCGAGCGAGCCGAAGGCGCGCGAGAGAGAGAAATCCCTCGTCGGAATGGTCGACAGGCCAGTCGCAGCCGTGAGGCATGCCACAGCTGCAGCAGAGGCACCTCCCACCCATTGGGCGGGCACACAGAAGGCCAGGGCAGCACTGGCAAGTGCAACGCGCCTCATGTCGGAGAGCGACCGTGCCTCGCTCGCCGCTTATGATGTAGAGTTTGTTGTAGAGATTTCACGTTGTAGGGAGCGCCTCTACATCGGTCATCGCTCTACCAACGCAGGCAGTTCGTCATGCGGCGGATGTAGAGCTCTACAGCTCTACAGCGCTCCAGAGCGCTCTACAGCTCTACAGCTCTACAGCGCTCTACACTCTACATCCTCTACACCCTCCCTCAGGGCGCCACCCTGCTGGGGCTACCCGTAAACTAACTGTAGTGAGCGTCGGGCTGGTGGTTCGACACCGAGATTAGTATTGTTGGCTCAGAGAGGGGGGAGAGGCACGGCCTGCGTAAAAAAGACACTTTTGTGTCGACGAGTATAACTCCTCGCCACTTGCTCCAATGATATCAAACCCTGTATGATTCTGAAAGGTCTCGATGAGAGCTTCACCCCGAGCATAGGTTTCATGGTAGTACGAGCACGCAGTCCCGAGATATGGCCTCGAACGCACAAAAAAGACGCAGACCGTAAAAAAGACACGACGTTCGTATAGGTCTCTAGAAGCTCGCACTTCTTTTCTTTTATCCACACCTGCAGGCGACCCTGCCGAACAGCAGCTGCTTTTTCGACCCTGGCCCTGAGGCGCCGGACCCATCGGCGCCAACGCTTCCCACGCATCCAACGCCGGGTCGTACCGCTCGACTGAGCTGAAGTAGTCACCGTTGTACCCGCCCACAGCATACAGGTTGCCGTCGAGCACCGCCACAGAGTGAGAGTCCCCCGCCTCCGCCATCGGCGCCACAGCCTCCCACGCCGTGCCTCTATCCTCATCCACCTATTCCGGACACAGGCCTCTCGCCGCCCTACAACCCAGGTTGCTTTGCCGCCGCCACTCCCTCGACGTTCATGAACTCCTGCCTCGACGCCTCCGACGCTGCCACCGTCCGCTGCTGGGAGGCCTTTTTCGCGCCGCCCGCCGTCGATCCGAGCGGCGTGGATCTCGAGACTGGCGACCTGCTCCTCGCTGGCGCAAACCCGAGCGGCAGGACGCCGGTGCGCGCCACCCTGCCCGCGCACTCGTCACCACACCCAGCCTCACCGCCTCCACCTCCGCTGCCGTGTGTGTAGGGTCTCAACTCGATCGGGACCTGCCGCTGGGACCATGTGGGTGTGGTCGTGGTGCGGGAGGGTGTGCCGTACGTCGTCGACAGCGGGTCCACACGCTACTACCCCTTCTGCACGCGCCCGCTCCACTTCTCCGCCGCCAGGCCGGCCGACGCGTGGGCCTCACAGCAGTCTGGCCCTCAGATGTACCGGCTCAGCCAGTTTGTCGCGGCGCTGGCCGAGGGCCCGCTGCAGCACAGCTCGCCGCCCTGGACCTACGAGCGACTGGCCGTCCGCAGGCTGCGCGAGCCGCTCACGAGTGAGCAGCGAGGCTCGCTCCTCGCGGCGCTCGAGGCGCTCGCGGACGTGCCGTACGAGCGACGCTCTGGGGAGATGACTGCCGGCGCCGTCGACGCGCTCGATTGCTGCGGCGTGCTGCGCAACCGAGAAGAGCTGCGGCACTCGCTGTTTTGCTCGGAGCTGGTTGCGGCGGCGTTCATGGAGGCGAAGCTGCTGCCCCCCTCGTCCGTCCGGCCCGCCAACGAGTACGTGCCGTCCGACTTTGCGCGCGACCGTGGCGGGAACCTGAGCTCCCTCTGCGGCTGCTGCTGCGCCTCCTGGTTGCTCGGCCGCTGCCTCGCGGCACTCGGCTGCGGCGAGCTGCGCAGCCACGCAACAGGCGAGCCGCTCCTCGGGGCAGAGGTGCTTCTCCGCACACGCGGGCCGCCGGCCGCGACGATGGCGCGAGGACCGGCACCGGCAGCGGCGTGATGCTGATGGCCCAGCCACCTCTCAAACGACAACCCGCCACTTGTTGTCTCTCCTCAGTCTCGTGTCTTTGTTTTGTCTTGCGGAATCGAAAACTGTACTACGACTCTGGCGGCGGCGCAGGTGGTGCGGGTCGTGGCGCCGCCGCGTCGGCTCGTGCCTTGCACTGACGGCAGGACGCGTCATCGTAGTAGCGCCAGTTGAACTTTCCTCGCAAGCAGTTGCAGCACCACCTAGAAGGGGCGCTGATGGGTGTTAGTTCGATCGGAGGAATCGCTCAGCGCTTTAGAGACCGGAGGAGAGAAATGCAGGCGGACGCTCACTCCTCGTAGTGGTCAAACCCATCGCCACTGCAGTCGGCCTCCTTGGAGCTATGAGGATCACGCTTGATTCGGCAGCCCGGGCAGTTGCCGTTGGCACAGCCGACCATCAATCGGAGCGGCTTTGTGGCTGGGCCTTGGGCGGCTGCCGTCGGCCGCCCAGCTCGTCTTGCAAAAGAATTCTACGAATACAAGCCCCTCTCACAGCAGACTGGCACGAACTAGCACCACAAAAGGCACAGCTTGCAAAAGAATTTTGAGCGCGTCGTGTCCCGACAGGAGAGCCTCGGGGAGGATGAGACGTTGTTCCCAGAGGGGGCGCCCCAGAGACACATAAACTGGCAGAAAGAAGACAGAAGAAGAACAGCGGCTACGGTTCCGACTCCGGCTCCGGCTGGTAGTCGACAAGCTGCCGAGCGCAAATCACTCTGTGTGACACATTTCTTGTTGGCTTCTAAAAATCTCTCTGAAGAAGACTACGAGCTGTTTGTGGGGCACGGACACGGGGCGAGCGCGATCAGAGTATTTGCCCAGTGTGCCAAGTGCTCCGCTCCAAGTGCCCCAGTCATACCGATTCGCCTCGAAGGCGAATGGAATGGGACTGGGGGTGCAAATGCGAACCGAATGCGACGTTTTGACTAGGAAACGCGCACACCGACTGCAAACAAAGCCAAACATACAACACAGCCCGGCCGAGGATTAGGGTTAGGGTTAGGGTTAGGGTTAGGGTTAGGGTTAGGGTTAGGGTTAGGGTTCGTTAGGGTCAGAGTTCAGGCCGTTGTGCAGCTCCTAAGAACGGGCCGCACGGGAGTGACGCAAGGTAGCACAGCACCCAGCCTCGCGCGCCTTATACAGCACCAGCCCGGCCGAGGGTTAGGGTTAGGGTTAGTTAGGGTTAGGGGTAGGGTTAGGGGCAAGGTTCAGGCCGTTGTGCAGCTCCTAAGAACGGGCCGTCGTCCGCGTCGCCAAAAAAACTGTTCAGTTTTCAAAGGCAAAAACGCCGGCGTACGCCCTCCCCTCACACTGACACTTCTCCCCTATTCCTAACTTTAGGTTGCGCACGTCTCCCAGCGAGCTAGGATCTCCGCTTTTTCTCCCCTAGTCATCCGCCCGCGCCGCGCGCCTCTATGGGCGTCTAGTGCAGCCACTGACAGAACTGTTCCCGAGGAGTGGTCGACGTCTCGCCTGAAGTTGGGTGGGCTCGCGCACTGCTTAGCCCTAGGGGAGGGGTGTGTGTGAGGTGGTGGAATGGTACCGTCGGGTCTCTATTTTAAGAGCAGGTAAACAGCAATAGATCCGGCCCTCAAGCGGCCTAATC